AGTGACGCCCTCGACATGGCAACATTTCGGTTAAATAATTCCGGCGCCGCGGGAAAATAAACAGACGCGAAATGGCTTCGTTATTGCGCGCAAATAATAGCATCTTTCAATTTTTATTGCGAGCGTCTTTCTGTCGGTTCCGCATTTATTCGAATTACGCGGGGCCGCGAGCTCTTTGAGAGGCAGTCTCCCTTTCCCCGTTTCGGTAATTTGTCGTTGAAAAGAAGTCGGCGGTCTGCGGTGGCCGCAGTCGCCTTTCAGGAGTGGGATCTTTTTTTTTTTTCTTTCCGTTTCGAAAACGCAATTACTGAATGTTAATGGAGTGTCGCACGGTGAGCGGGGTGGTAATTATATTGGGGTCAGGGTGGTTTGCCTCCTTGATTTCCATCAATAACTTTCCATATTCTAACTTTAGCTTGGATAGTGCCATCATCGGGAGCAATCATTTGGGAGCGACTATCACCTCAGACAACAACATTACGAAGGAAATTAATAATAAAATACAGAGTGCCAATCGTTGTTGTTTTGCATTGCGAAGTGTAATGAAATCGAAAAATGTATCTCGAAACACCAAGAAATACCTATACCACGCAATTATGAGACATGGACATTGAGAAAACAAAATGAGAACCGACTAAGAATTGCAGAGAGAAGGATTTTAAGGGGCATATACGGATTAACCAAAGATGATATCACTCAACAGTATCGCATTAGAACGAACAGGGAATTGGAAATAATAAATTCGAAAAGACTGAGATGGGCAAGCCATTTCGGAAGGCAAAACGACCAACGAATAATTAAATTAGTGTGGGAAGAAATACCGGATGGTAGAAGACCATTGGGAAGACCTAGATTGCGTTGGAGAGACAACCTAACAGCAGACCTAAATACGCTAAACATTGAAAAGGTCGAAGAAATAATGATGGATGGGGACAGATGGAGGTAGATTGTGAAGTCAGCCAAGACCCACGCTGGGTTGTAGAGCTACAGAGAGAGAGATTGTTTAGTATTCTTGCTAAAATTTTTCTGCAAATATGGTATGACAAATAAAACCGTTCGTCTGGTATATATTAAAACTTCTTCTTTCCTTTCCTTCATTCCAATTAATTCCGTCGTTAAAGGTGTTACTGTGAATGCATTAGCAACATGCCTATCTAACACCACATTGTATTATTAAAAATGTGATGAATTGGAAAATATTGGCAATATATAAATATACTGAACTAGCAACCCGGCGAAGCATTCTGTAGTAGAATTACGTTTGATATAGATAGTTACTATATGAGAGTCGGTTGCCTACAGATTGTCAGAAACTAACTTATACACCAAATCTTATTTCCTAACGATCTACTAACATCATCAAAATTGCTGACGTTTTGCCAATCATCCTGTTGTCTAATCCAGAGCTAAACTGAAACTGGCTCGGATATATATTGTTTGAAGAGGGCGGACCTATAGGAGGGGCACGATGATGATTGGGAAACGTAAATATTTGAGTCTCGATTAAAATTGTTTGGTTGCTTATAGATTTCAATAGATTGTCGGATTTTTCGTTGGTAGAAGAATGGATTACTTGTAAGAGTTTCGTTCCATCTAATTAAATTTGATGTCGGGTTTCGTGACTGTGTTCGGCAACTGCTGATATAGTTTCAAGGCTCTTTCGTACTCTTTGACCCTAGTTGATATTTTTCGTCCAATCTCGCCGATGTATCCTTTGTCGCATATGCATGGAAAGCATTCCATTACAGCATCAAACTCTTGCTACCTCAAACCGAATTTTGTCTTTGACGGATCGAAGATGTTGAGAGATTTTTGGACAAGTGGTAAGATATTCAATTCAATGAATCATTGGATCATTCTGTTTCCAGAAAACCACATTGTCACCATCCAGACCAAAAATCATACTTACTCGAGTCACTGAATCCAGAATTAAAACACCTTACCTCACCTTCTCTCCAATATTTTCCACATTAGAGATTTAACCGTTCTATCACAAAATACACTTCACCACAAATTTTCAAAGAGAGTGAGCCCGAAAGCAAACTGTAAGGTAATCAATTCTTCTACCCACGAAAAATCCGAGAATCTATAGAAATCTGCAAGGAACCATACAATCTTAACCGCAACTCACGTGTTTACCTTTCATCAATATCGGAATCACTCATCCGAAACAATTTTTATGCCCCCCCTTCAGCTCCTCATGTAAGCAGCTGCAGAGCAGAGTTAGAGCCAGTTTCAGTTTATCTCTGAAGAAGGCAACAGGATGATTGGCGCAACGTTAGCAAGTTTAATTTATTATAAACCGACGCAGGAGAAACCCAAAAAAATTGTAAATATTATTAGGAGGCACCTTTGCTTGCTAGGCATTGGAGACGACCCAGAGTGCAGGTAGTGCATGGAAGGGTAGGAGACCGATCTGCTCGCCGAGTGCCCTGCTTTTATGTGACCAAGATATGGAGTCTTCAGAACGGCCCTGTTCGACTCAGTGCAAGGTATTGGGCTAAAGGACTTGCTGAGGGGCGGCATTCTGGACGCCCTCTAGCGTGGTCTGGAGCACAACGGGCCCATCTGGTGGTCTAAGTGCTTGGATGCTACCCCTAAATACCAATACCAATACCAATAGCCTATGAAAGTTCCTTTGAAAAATCATGACACTCTTTTATTGTTATTCTATTGCTTCATGTTTGACATTTATTTCGGAAAGGAAGGTAGGACTCAAAAAGTTGTCAGGATTAATGCCCACCGAGGACTGTGTAAAGATCTTTTGTCTTCCGAAGTCTTTGTTGTTAACGAGATGGGTATGGCGTAAAAATCGACTACAAAACCGTTTCGGGTCGTTACTCGACGACATAAAACCACCACGACCACATGCGGACGGCGAAGATAAATGTATAATGAAGTCGTCGACTAAAGCGACTCCCATATCCTTTACACCGTTTGCCGAATTATTAACCGCAGTCCCACGGGAATAACGGTGGCTCCCCGACAGACAAAACGCGAATGAATTCTTTACGATGCTCTACGCCCCCCAGCCCCTTCACCAAACAGAAAGCAAAACTAGAAGTTTCCCGTACCCTCTGTCGCCGCCACTGGGGAATTTATCAAATCCCGCGTCTCGAATGTCGGCTCGTCGTTGTTTTCCCCCGCTAAATTTACCAACTCGACCGGTGTCGGATTTTAATTGTTTTCCATTAATTTGATTATATTAAATGCTATACCAGGCACGGCCCGTCAAAGCCTGTTTACACTGCACGCTTTCTTTTTTTTTTGGCTGGCAACTCCGTCGACGTCAATATTGGCTTTTAATTAAATTTTTACGCGAAACGCGATATACTTTTCACGTGCCGGCGACATTAATTATCCATTAGAAAAATATGCAAGTTGCGACGCTAAATAAGATGCAATGGGATGCCACAAGAGTCGCACCTCGGGCCACTCCTGTTTGATGCTTGTATAAATGACGTTCGCGAATGTTTCACCATGTTTTTTAATTTACTTAAGTTAAGTTACTTTGAGATCTTCAAGTTAATAAAATAAAGAAGACAACACAAACAAATGAACCAGTAAAGTATAAAGAAGTACAGAGAGCAATTAGGAAAAAATGCGCCAGTGAAAATGGCTATCTGGAAGTGCATAGAAATAGAAGAAGTAGACCAATAATATGACAGCATTAACTTGCATAAGAAGAACAATGAAATGGCTGGACACCGGAGGAGTACCCATTCACATATTCTTAAAGATGTCGAGGGAATTACAATTGGAGATGCAAAAGAAAAAATAGCGGGATGGACGAAATATATTCAACAGTTATTCCACGACAACAGTTTAATAACAGTTAATTAAAAGGATAAAGCAGGATCTCCGATATTATAAAAAAATCAAAAGTTACGGGCCTTGATGAGATTCCAATTGAACTAATAAAACTCATTGATGTAGATTTAATGTCTTAGTAGACCATATATCACAATGGCGCAATACCTGGACAATGGCTTCAGTCGACTTTCGTTGAGATCCCTAAGAAGCCAAATGCCACAACCTGTGCTGACAATAGAACCATTTCCTTGATGAGGCATACATTAAAAGTGTTTCATAAGTTTTTCCACAACCAAATTTTCAGGACCCTCGAAACGAAACGGACTTAAGTAACTCTCAGTTCGATTTTAGAAATGGCAAGAGAGGCACTGTTTGGCACGAATGACTGCGTAAAGAAGCCTCGATATGATTCTGGTTTCATTTACTTCGAGAAAACGTTTGATCGGGTGCAACATGCAAAACTAATAGACATCAACATAATATCGACGCTGTATTGGAATCAAACTGCTTAATTCTGGGTGGAAGATTAATATACCGAAGATATTAAAATTCTGAGGGGCATACGACAAGGCTGTCGTCTGTCGCCGCTGCTCTTCAATATCTACAGTATATACAATATATTCCAAAAACCATTGGGCGATTGCTTAGAAGGGATAAAAATAAATAGAGAATTCCTTTACAATTTTACATTTGGTGATGATATAGTTATTATGATAGAGAGCTTCGGCGACTTGAAAAATTTAATGTATCGAATAAATACATGCTGCAGTGATCACAGTCTAAAGATCAGCCTTAGCAAAACTAAATTTATGATCGTTACCTACGCATAAATATCCATTTAGTGGTAAACAACACGAACATCGAAAAAGCACACTCGTTCAAGTACTTGGGAACGTGGATATCTTCAAACATTGATCAGACCAAAGAAATAAAAACACGAATTGGAACTGTACGATCAGCGTTTGTCAGGCTTAGTGACAATACTCCGGTGCTTTTATATGGTATGGAAGCATAGACGCTAGAGGAGTCAATAAGCTGGTCGAGTTTGAGCTTTGGTGTTATAGAAGGATTTTGAAGATATCGTGGACAGAAAGGATCTCAAAATTTGATGTTTGCAAATGAGGAAGAAGAAGAAGTCACTGTATCCGAATTATAAAACGTAAATTTCGTTTATTCTAAGCTGGTTTCATAAATGGATTCGAATTCCATTCACGTGACCTCTTCGTCGGACCCGGACCCCCAAATCTCCTTTCCGAATAGCAGTTCCCCGAAGTAATCCACCTTCCGCTTGATCTTCAGCTTATTCTGTACCACCTCGCCCGCGACGCTCTCGTTTACCCTCTCGAAATCGTCTGCTACTTTCTCCACCAAATTATCAGCTTGCACCTGAACTAACCCCCCTAACGTTTCCGCCACATGCGCCTTGAGTTCTCGCACTTGCCTAGCGACATCTTGACTTACGCGTTCGAAATCTTGTTTCCATTGCAGCAGCTGGTCTTCGACGCACTGCTGCAGCAATCTCTCGGCTTCAATCTCTTCTTCAGGTCTTTTGGCAGGGGAAACGAACACGTCGAAATGTTCGGTGAAGAAGCGCCTCGAAGCTCCTCCTAGTCGTTGAGCTTCTCGATGATCTTTTCGAGCAGCATCGCGGACTTCTACTAGGATTTTTCCCATCGCTTCTTTGGCGTCCGCTACGACGGCATCGATTGCTTCTTTGGTAACTCGTAGGTCGCGTTCTAGTTTGGTAGTGTTCGCTTTCAGTATGTTTTCGTAAGCTCCGATCAAACGGCCCTTGTCGACATCGTGGAAGCACGGGGACCTCAACACGCTTAATATTTTGCTCTCTACCTCTTTCGTCGCTCTTTCAGTGACCTTGGCAACCGCTAGCGATGACTTCCTGCGGAGGTCTTCGATGTTCTGTCTGATTTTTGAAAGGTTCTCGTTCAAGTCCTGATCGAGGTCGCTGAGCTGTTCACTGTTCATGAGCGGGACTGGAATTTTGATGGAACGATGATGATTTTGGTTGAACTGCCACGGAAACGTCACGTCATGATGTTTGAAAATAAAAAAAAATAAATAGCTCTAAGAAAAATTACATCGAAAGCTAATTTCTTCCAGTAAAAATTACTGCAACATTAAGAACAGACATCTCTTAGAAAATTCCAAATCGTTAAGAAGCGAGCGCTCAGCAGAACTCCGACAGGGGGCGCGCGCGGCGTTTTATTAAATTCGAAACTTTTTTCGCTCCCCGGACCGCCCGGAGCGGTATATTAAAAAGGACCGACTTGCCGAGCATAAAAAGGCAACCTCGTTTGGTAATTAATATGCCATAAACATGGAAAACCTTTTTGTTTTCATGTGCCCGCAGCCACGTTGCTATTTAAAATCCGATTTTTTTTTTCAACGAACGTACGAGAAAATTTTATTTCATTTCGGAGATACTTTTGTCTAATTTAATAAAACTTTTTTATTATATAAAACGTTTCGGTTCTCACGGAATCAGTGTTTCGTGGCTCTCGGGATAAAATGAAAATACTACATTTTTTATATTCACAAAACTTCTGGATTTCTCCTGCGTCGGTTTTTGTTGAGTCGAATTAGCTAACGTTTCGCCAGTCATCCTCTTGGCTTCATCAGAGCTTAACTTTAGTTGACTTGTATTTTACTCGGTACCTGCTTACATATTGTTTGAGCGGAGCTAAATGAGGGGCATAAACATCGTTTCGGATGACTGATTCCCATATTGGTGAGTCGCGGTTAAGATTGCTTGGTTGCTTATAGATTTCTATAGATTCTCGGATTTTTCGTTGGTAGAAGTATCGAATAAAATTTTATGTCCGGTTTGGCGATTGTATTCAGCAATTACTCTTGAGTAAATTTGTCTTTTCTTTCATGTTGTTTGAGCCTAGTTGATATTTGTCGTCCGGTCTCTCCATATGCATGGAATGGCATAAACTCCTGCCATATCAAATGGAATTTTGTCTTTGACGGGTCCAAGATATCGATGTATTTCTGAACAAGTGGTAAATTTAGATTTTACGTTATGTTTCTTAGGAACTTTCGATATGTAATGAGTGATGCCTCGAATGCTTTGCTCCTTGCTACTGGAAGGGTATGGTGAAGTGTATTCTGTGATGGAACGGTTAATATCTTCAATGTGGAAATTATTAGAGAGAAAAGCAGAGATAAAGTGTTTATATTCTGGGTTAGATAGTTTTACCTCTCTGTAAGCAAAAGAGTTGATAACTATAAAATCATAACCATAAATCGTAACCCTAAAATCAATTCGTTTATTTAAACCCGAGCCTCATAAATATTTAGTATTTGTTTAATGCGTAATTTCAAACAGAATTGTGCTAGAAATGGTACTGAACCCTAGTCATCAGATATAACGCCTATTGCAACTACAGAAAAAGGTGGGTACAGACTGTTCCAAAGCCAATGAAGGAGTTGGGGTCAGCAGCTGTGTAGAACATCCAAAAGCGCAGATAAAGAAAGGATTCATACAAGTGTATAAAATTATGGATGTTCGCTATTATACATAATGCTCAATATGTTTATATAGTATCGACGAAGAAGTCATTTAGATGTAATTAAAGTAACATTAACAAACATACATACAAAAACTATAAATAAAACAAAGACGATGAACAAATTAAAATCAAAAAAGGAAAGATGGAACAATATAAAATTACAAAGTTAAAAATATGAATAGATGAAAACTCTCAAATTCCTTGGGTGTAAAGTAAAGTAATTGCTAAAGCTGATGCACGTAGTTTTAGTTTATTTGGTTGAAGGTTGTTGATGGTGTATTTAATAGTATATTGTTCTGCTTAGTGTGTTGTACGAGTAACTTCTAGTGATTCTACTTTACTTTTATTTTTGAAAGTAAAAGTAAGTAATTTTTATATGAAAACTGAAGGGACAGTTAAAATTTTTTGTGCATTAAAAATTGGTGTATATGATTGTCTCTAGGGAATATTATAATCTTACTATTCTCTTATGAATCAGAAATATTTTCTCAACCTACACCCCATAAAACTAAATTATGACTAATGCTATGCTACATTAAACAGCTCTTTTTTCAGAAAGTCCCCGTTAAAACTCAAACCAAAAAAGCATATCCTGAAGATATGTAGCCTTACCAGAAATAGTACAAGGTATGAGGAACATTAATCTATTCTTTTTCATTCAATTTGTGGAATATTGACAATATAAATTTGTTATCGAAAAAATAATTTTGTCGTAAATCCGTCCGAAGTGTCTCTACACACAATATTACTGTCGGAAACAGGGACGTATCGAGGGGATTGAAACCGATATCTCTTTTTCTCTCGATTGCGTTACTACATACATAATCGAATTATCGACGATTGATAAGCGCCAAACGGGAACGCATCGTTCACCGCGAAAGGTCGGGCAAAAAAAATCCCCCGATTCCCGATTAGGGCACGGAAAGGCTGCCCCGGCAAACGTACCCGAACCGACAACTGACAAACGTACCGGGAATATAAAATAATTTCGGTCATATACTGTGCCGGAAAAATAGGTCCGATCGGTCGACGTGACAGTTCCGACCGATTTTAAGTCGACCGGTAGTTTTGCTTGTCGCGGACGTCGATTTATTGTTTTCGTTTTGTTCTATTTGGACGGCCTATTTATCGGATTGTGATTTTCGGGCGATTTGTCAGCGAGAGTCGACTTAATGGCGAAACGATGTCGCTTTCGATTTTCGCGATTCGGATTTCGATCAACGCGCGCCACTGTCCTACTTCCGGTGGACCGAGGAGGGTTATTATTACATCCGCATCACACTGCAAGGTGCGCAACTCATACAGCAATCTTTCGTTACTTGTAGGGCTGGGTCATAAGATGGTTATCAATTGTATTTGCACATACCTTGACTGAGAGAATTTTCAGTACATGCTAGCTCTCTCAAAATTATATATAGCAAATCTCGACGATTGTTAGCCAAATGCATTAATTTATTATAAAAATTTATAGTTACAGCCTCCATTAGCCAAGTCGATTCGTTAGAAGACCCCACCCTACCTATTTTGTTCTTAGGTCTAACTACGCAAATCGAGCGATTTTCCGGTTTCACCTTTCCATTTGTCAAGGTTCTGCAAGCAACAAGTTCATAATTTTGTGGAAGTTTTACCCATTTTAATTATTTGGAACCCGTATGCTGCTATGTTATTTGGTCGTAGCGCCTTATCTTGCGTTTTGGGTTTGCTTTAACTTTACTTTCGGCACTACAACCTCCCGTAAGGAGAGATTCAGACCGACAACAGTAATTTTTTTTTTCTCTCGGTTCGTTCATTTTGTTCAGGCCACTCCGTGATTCGCAACCCTCATCATTTGTTTCTGTTACTTCCGTATGAGTAAGATCACGTCAAGTGGACCCCCCATTTTTCCACTTGATTATAAAAATTTAATCTATATATATTTTTCATAAGTACTTAGATGAAAAATTGACCCCCTTAACGATTTTTTAAAATTTTGATTTTAACAAAAAAATTTTATAATTAAAATTTTAAGCACTTTTTAATTAAAAAATGGATTAAAAATCAACGGCAAGAGATAAATTTGTGAAATTTTCAGCATCCATGGTTGCTTATTTTCGTATTATTAACTAACTTTAACAAATGAAATTTAACTGATTTCTTGGTAAAAAAAATCATGTTTTTTTTATCGGTCACACGCATTTAAGTTTAAGATTCCGGAAGAAAATTTCACTGCTCGTCATTAGCTTAAACAAAATGAATTTATTTATGACAGCGCGCCGTGCGCCGAGCGCTGCCGAGCGTCTCAAACTGCATTGAAGGTTTTATCAGTGATAATTTAAAATAATAATACCAAATATTATTATAAAACAAATTTTATTATGATTTATGTTATTTTAATATAATTATTATTAATAAAATTTTATTTTTTTTTACAATGTTATAAAAAACACTATCAATTTTTTTAATTATTTTTACCAAACAGCATAAATTTAGAAAAAAATATTCAGCTTTAAATTTTTAAAGCTATTATGGTCTATATTTATTTTTTCTAGGTAATTTAGTAAATTATTATTTTTAAATTTACTAGTCAACAATTCATCATTAGTTAACAAAAGAAAAACCGCTCCGTTACAATTTTCATTTGTTTTTCGCGTATCCTAGTAAATAACAAAATCATTTTAGAAGTCATTCCTGTCTATTCGTGACATAATTTTATACGTAAAGCATGAAATAATTATTAAAAAAAAAGTGTATTAATTTTTAATTGTAATAATAATATTTTCTGTGATTTAAAATGGGCCGAGTGAATCACGAAATTATGTGATTAAAAAATTAGTTTTAATTATTATTTAAATATAATTTTGCAAATTTAGTTAATCATAAAATTGATTTTGGTGTTGGTGCTGATTGGACTTTTTTCGCTTCATCTCACGGCAAAGGAGCTTAGCAGGGATTGTAAAAAGACTAAAAAGACAAGCTTATCGTGCTAGTCTTCAACGTGATAAAAACAACCAGATAACAACCCCACTTTCTTTTTTTCAATGGGCCCAAAGTTCTTTTTAAAAAAACACCAACCACGATTCGAACGCTAACTACAAAAAAAAATACTCGCCAATTTCATTACTACAAACCATTGGAAAATTTTTCACCAGAATGCAGGGTCGTCTCAGAGGATGAAAAGTATTTATTTAAAAAAGTTTTAAAAAAATAAATAAAAATAAATGACGACAAATTTACAATTTAATTATTTAAGCTTGTTTGTTCTATTCAGTATGTTGTGACTTTTAATATTGTTAAAAAAAATAAAATTTTATTAACAATAATAATAATAAAATAACATAGATAATAATAAAATTGGTTTTATAATAATATTTAGTATTATTATTTTAAAATATCACTGATAAAACCTTCAATGCAGTTCGAGACGAAATTCATTTTGTTTAAACTAATAACGAGTAGTGAAATTTTCTTCCGAAAGTTAA